TTTTTTTTTTTTTTTTTTTGTCCACTTCATTTTTGTCTTTTTGAAATAAATAAACTACTCTACTTGTGCTGCCCAATTTAAATTTTATTTCATCATCCAATTAATAAATATACTTTTGTGCTAAAAAAATGGTCTTATGCTATAAAGAATAACTATTACAGTACCCGTGCGATACAAGGGACTTTATTATTTTCATCTTTTTTAAAAGGCAATTTTGTATTTAAATTCAAATTATAATATAAAGCACCGATCATTGATTATAATTAAACTAACAAATATTTATTATAAGATATGTGTAATTATTTATATTAATCATGTTGGGCTTGTAAAAAATGAATGTTTTTTAAAAATGTGAGCTTCAAAAAGTTCATATCGGCCCAATTTACAATTTTGGCTTCGAAAGTTCATATCGGCCCAAACAAAACAGAAAAAAGCCAATGATCCAAATTAGTCAACGCAAATCGATGGTTTAGATTACACTGAACATAGTATAAATAGTGAAATTAATGGACCAAGGGCTTCATTACAGCTTCTTCTTTTGTCTTTTTTCATCGATCTTCTTCCAACTTTTCCGTTCTAATACTGAGGGTCTTATAAATACATATTCTTTTTTAGTTTTCATCTAATTAATGCTTTAAATTAGTTTTAGGTGTTCTGCACGAAACAAAATATGGATTGTTCAATTTGAGGGTTTTTATTTTCACTTTTTGTAGTTTTATGTTCGAATTTTTTGGTTTTTACATTAATCAAAAGAATCCTTCGAATTTGAGTGTGCGCCCTAGATTTTGTTAATTTAGTTGTTTTGCCTGAAAAAGAAATGTGAAATTTTGAATTTTAAGGTTTTTATGTTCGATTTTTGTACTTTTATGTTTGGATTTTTTGGGTGTTTACAACTACTCAAAAGAACTCTTAGAATTTGAGTGTGTGTCGACAGATTTGTTATTTTCTTGATCGGCAAAATTATTTTGTTACTCAAAATTTTTTGGCGCCCAAATGATTTTTTCTTTTGAAACTCAACTCGGCTGAAAACATACAAATCTGACAATTAATTATGTGATATTATTGATTTTGGTGAAATTATTATGGATTATGAACTTGCAATTTTTTTGCTCAAATTAATGAATTTGATATCAATTAATTATAAAAAGGATTGGTATTGAAATAAAATTCAAATTTTTAAAAGCATTATTTGTACCAAAATCGAGCAATTTGGTTACCAAAACCAAGTATCCGTAATTTAAGGCATATTTAAATGTTTCTCATTTAATAAATAAAAAATAAAAACAAAACTTGCTCGAAATGGTATGCAATTAATGTTGCAAGATTTTTTTGCTTACTATTTTTCATAAATAATAATTCTATTATATATATAGATAATGTGTAAACTATTTTCTGTGCTGTAAAATTAAAATTTTTATTTTTTTATGATGCATTTGGTTAATAAAATAGTACAATTAATGTATTAAATTAAAATTGGGATCTACATCTTGTGGGAATTTTTTGTGTAATTGACTTGATGTTGATGGTCCAAATTTGAATTCAAGCATTCAAAACACTAGTTTATAGAGCCTGCAGACACCCATTTCCCCAAGCCTGGCTTAGCGTCCAACCAATACAGTATACTATGACAGCGATCGGATATGAATTCAACCGATTCTGACCGATTTTGTTTGGTCAAAGTGAATTAAAGCAAGTTATTTTAAATAAAATAGATTCAGTGAATAATTTTGAGTTTGAAATAAAATAATATCTAAAAAGTAATTACTAAAGTTGATGTGATGTAAAAGTAGAAAAGAAATTATTGGAAGTGATAGATAACTAAAATAGTGTGAGTTGATAAATATTAAATGAAAATTGATGTGACGTGTGAGAATGATTGATTGACATTATTTAATTATATTTATAAAAAGTACGAGAGTTGAGTTGAATTTGATTTTGAGTTAGATGATTGAATATGAAATAACTCAATCGATCATAATTGGTTATAACTTATATCCAAGCACGCTCTACGTGCCCCCTCAACTGGGGCTCGGAGCAAGTACTAACACTAAGAAACCATCTGAAACATACAACTCTCGCATCAACTCAAAGCCTGTAATTATCACTAGTAAGTCCATCAAAACAAGGGGGCAATGACTCAACGCATCAGTGACCTGATTAGATGCGCACGATTGATGTTTGAGGACAAACGTAAACTGTTGCAAATGAGAAGTCCACGAAGCATGAAGAGCTGAGATATTGTCCTGGGAGGTGAGATGGCGAAGTGCGTCATGATCCATGTACAACATAAAATCCCTATGAAATAAATAGTGACGCCAATAACGGACGACTGGCACTATGATATAGTACTCCACATCATATGTGTTGTAATACAACCATGGGTCCAACAACTTTCCGTTGAAGAAATCCATGGGCCGCGAATTCTGGCCCAACACCGCTCCGACGCCCACATTATAGACATCACACGATGTTTCAAATGGTAGCGTAAAATCAGACAACAACAACAGTGGAGTCGAAGTAATCTTACGTTTGACGAGAGCAAAAGCGTTAGCAGTCGATGTTGTCCAAACAAATGACTTAACACTTAGACAATCCGTAATATGCGCCATAATAGAGTTGCAGTGGGAAATAAAGCGCGGGTAAAATGAAGTCAGGTCTTGGAAGCTGCATGCCTCCATAAATGAGGTGGGCGTCGGCCAATTACGAATCGCCGCAATCTTACTCTCGTCCACGCGATCCCCTCCACTGAAATTTGGTAACCCATAAACAACACCGAGTCGACCAAAAAGAAATATTTCTTTCGGGCCGCATAGAACTGCTCCACTCGTAAAATCAGAAGCACCGAGCGAACGTGTACCGAGTGGGCGTGTAGTAAATGATCATCAATCAAACGACTTTAAATAAGGATGTCATCGAAATAAACGACAACGCAGATCGTCCATGACGCATATAAAGGTGTTGCGTTGGACAAACCAAGGGGCATCACTAACCATTCAAAAAGGCCAATTTTGAATGTCGTTTTCCACTCGTCGCTCGGGCAAAAACAAATCTAATGGTATCCACTGCAGAGATTCAATCTAGTAAAGACTGATATCCCTATCTAACAAATCTAATCGATGTATCGAAAAACGATACCGCATCGTAATCTTAGTAATAGTACGACTGTCGAAATACATACTCCACGAGTTATCCTTCTTTGGAGTAAGGAGAGCGGGGACTGCACATAGGCTCAAGGTCTAACAGACTACTCCACGCCAAAGGAGCTCGTTCACTTGCCTAAAATTACTGGTTTTGAAAGACGGTTTCATCGTTGTTGATCTAGTTTAAGTTGCTTAGTCATTGTGCACTATGCATGGAGACGCACTGGATTTCCTCAGTCCAAATTTGAGTTTACCCAATAATTGTTTATCCAATAATGAACTTTTGAATTTTTATAGACATTTGAATTGTACTGATTAATTCCAAAAAAAAAAAAAAATAAAAAAAAACAGCTATTCAAATACAGTAGAAACCATAAGACCAAATCATGCAGGAGTTGGGAAGAACCACATAGGCGCAGGGAAAGTCTTTTTCATCTTCTTGATATCACATGGATAATAGCATGGCGACACAGTCTTATTCTCATAATTGAAAATGCCAATGTCATGGCCACCCGTCGGGTAGTCCTAAATCACTACATCTTCTACTCCATCTGTGAAGTAAATGGAATTGGACTTGAGCTCCGGGAACTCTGCCACCCGCAACGCGACTGCATCGCTCTGGAAGCCAACAAAAAGAGCCAAGCCATCTAACGAGTTCACGTACTTAACATCCTCATCCTCAGTGTTATATTTTTTTACAGCAAAATCAGTAGTCGCACACGGAAGGCCTCGTTTGATGGTCTTCTTAGACGGGTCACAGCCGTCGGCATACAATCCATCAAACTCAAATGCTTCAACTACGTATTGAGTCACCACGAGGAGATCTTGATCCTGCCCGGCCACTACCAGATGCTCCACTGGCTCACACGTTAACAACAAGTGCTTCTGCTTTTCATACCAAATTTTGCCACCCCTTTCACCAACCTCGGCTATCTTCACAGCCCTCGGTGAGTGAGGGTCCCGAAGATCCCAAGATTCCAATAAGCCCTGTTTCGTGAGGCTAAACAATGCTTCGTGTCTTGTGGAGTAGACACAGTCCCTATAGCCCGGGCGGAAGGACCGTCCCAAATTTTCATCAAACCAGTTGTGATCCCCGATATGTGTCCACTCCTTGCTGAACCCGGGGCAGCAGAAAGCCAGCCCATGTACGTTGTTGTAGATAATGATGGCTCGACAATTTGGTTCTTCCGGGGAGCACGAGAGTACGACCTTGTAGACTTTAGCCAAGTTGTCAGGGTAACCGGGAAGATCGCCAACGGAAGGGAGGTTTATACGGCGACGGGAGATGGGATTATAGAGGAACAGATCGCGGCTGGGGCTCATCAAAGCTAGCCAGCCGAGTGAAGATCCCGCGCACACCATGAGCGGGTTTGTTAATTCTCTTTCTTCGAGGCTATGGGTTACGATTTTATTGTAGGCGAGGCTGTAGAAGTTGTAGCTGATGCTGGCGGCGCCGGTGAAGGTCACGTCAATGGAGGGCGGTAGCATAAGCCAAGGAGATGATGGGTGGTTTTGTCTCATCGGCTCCGCCAACGTGCTCATGCCTTTCGGATAAAAGGAGTTAAACCTATTCCTGCAACATTCGACGGAAGAACAAGATTCAATCATCCGTACAATCGGATAATTAGATAATCCGGCAAACCATTTCCGACCAATCGAACGGGTGATTGAGAAGGAAGAAGCCATCGATAGATAAACTTCGAAAGTCAAAAGAGGGACAATCTAATCGCTGCCTCCTACTCGTGTCGTATATATATGCTTTTAACCTAAGCCCTGCCTGTGTACATTCCAGACCCAGTTCCATTGTCTGATAGTTTTGTGATGACTGACCCACTTAAAGTTATTATTTTAATCTAGACTAGATTACTTGTGCGGCCCAATTTAAATTTTATTTTCTCTTTTAATTAATAATTGTATGAATATCATATTTTTGTGATAAAAAAAAAAAAAATGGTCATATGCTATAAAGAATAATAATGTGTAAACTATTATTTGTATTGTGAAATAAATTTTATTTTTATTATGATTGTATTTAGTTAATAAAATAGTACAATAAATGTATTAAAATAAAATTGGGATCTACATCTTGTTCTTGTGGATAGTATTTTGTGTAATTGACTTGATGATCCAAATTTGAATACAAGCATTCAAAGCATACTTGTTTATAGAGCCTGCAGACACCCATTTCCCCATGGCCTGGCTTAGCGTCTAACCAATACAATATACTACGAGAGCAATTGGATATGAATCCAACTGGTTTTGTCCGATTTTGTTTGGTCAAAGTGAGTTATTTTAAATATAATATATTGAGTGGACGATTTTGAGTTTGAAATAAAATAATATCTAAAAAATAATTATTAAAATTGATGTGATGTAAAATTAAAAGAAAAAATATTAGAAGTGATAGATAATTAAAATAATGTGAGTTGATGAATATTGAATTAAAGTTGATGTTTACGTGTGACATTATTTAATTATATTTATAAAAAATATGAGAGTTGAGTTGAATTTGATTTTGAGTTAGATGATTGGATATGAAATAACTCAATCGATCATAACCAGTTATAACTTATATCCAATCACACCCATGTTCTCCCTCAACTAGGACTCGGAGCAAGTACTATAGCATAAAGAAGCCATCCGAATCATACAATTCTCGCGTCAACTCAAAGCTCGTAACTGTCACTCGTAAGTCCATCAAAACAAGGGAGCCACGACTCAATGCATCAGCCACCCGATTAGATGCGCCCGATTGATGTTTGAGGACAAACGTAAACTGTTGCAAATAAGAAGTCCACGGAGCATGATGAGCCGAGATATTGTCATGGGAGGCGAGATGGCGAAGTGCGTCATGATCCATGTACAACATAAACTCCTTGTGAAATAAATAGTGATGCCAATAACGGACGGCTCGCACCATGACATAGAACTCCACATCGTTAATGCACCCATGGGGCCGACAACTTTTTGCTGAAGAAAGCCATGGGGCGCGAATTCTGGCAGTCCTGACGCCCACCTTACAGGCATCACACGATGATTCAAATGATAGCGTAAAATCAGACAACAACAGTGGAGTCGAAGTAAGCTTACGCTTGATGAAAGCAAAAGCATTAGCAGTCCGCGTTGCCCAAATAATCGACTTGACACTCAGACAATCCGTAATATGCGCATAATAGAATTGCAGTAGGAATTAAAGTACCGGAAAAATGAAGTCATGTTGTGGAAGCTGCATGCAATTGTAGGCAGCATTTGTGCTTGTGGTTGTTCTGCCCGTTTGTTACCACTTCCTGGAGAAATTGGGTTATGCTTAGTAATGACTTGTGCCTCTCAAAGTATTAGTGAACAAAATGCTTGGACCATATTGCATCTAACTCAAAAACTGAAATACGTATCTACTATATTTACTCAGTTTCAGAAGTCTTTCCAATTAATTACTCTCCTTTCATTAATTTCCATTTGAACAAGTTACAAGTTCAATGTTACATTGTTGTCATTCTAACTCCAAATCACCATCCATGTTAAAAGAGTGATTAAGTGTATAAGTGATTGTAATTATATTTATTGAAAGGTTGCCAGCTTGTTTTGAAAACGATATGTATATGGAGGTGTATTATTGTTCAAATCTTTACTGTATACTTGTCAAGAGATGCCCCTGGATGGACATGTGCTCGGAAGTTATTGACATCAAGCGAGTTTGTTTCATGAAGCCTCAAAGATTCGGATTCAGTTTATTAGTCGGAAACTTAGCTCGCAAACAATCCTACCATAATACAACCACTTAAAATTTCGCATAATGATTGTTATTACAAGAGACCCCTTTCGGGAGAAATGTTTCGATACACGTCCTCTTAAGATACAAATAGTTCTACAGTAACTCAGACGTTGCATACCTGAGACCTTGGATATGGTGAATCTTCATATTTTCCTTCCCACCTGTAAACAAAGAAAAAGCAATCAGTTAGGTTGAAGCATATATATACAATATCATTTTTTTAAGGTTCACAGAGAAGAACAAGAACTAAACCTAAAATCATCTCCTGTGGGAATATTTAACTCCAAATCTTTTTCAAATGGCTGGAAAACCTGCTTGATCTTTTCTGCATCAACGGCCTTAAGAGACGAGGGTTCCCACTGCACAAGTTTCGAGAATGAATGAGTAAGATCAGGATGATAATCCTCATGTAAAACTGTAAAACTTTATTATGTTTGAATCAGTAGAATGCTGCAGTATGATTTTCTTCGAATTCTGATGCATAGATGATTGAATTATTTGCAATGAGAGAGAGAGAGAGGCCATACTTTTGGCGCATTATCTTTGTCGATTGCAACAGCTCTAAGACCCTTGTATAGAAAAAGGAAGAAGCCATTCAGATACCAACAAGATGACTCGTACGTATGTATATTAACTAACGGAGAAGATTCGAAGAAAAGTTTGCGTACTATAATACCTCATACACATCATCAGATATTGCCCTCCTGAAAATGTTCATTGTAAGTCTGAACTCTTTCTTCAGGCAATCGGATAATGTCATCTTCCTTCCATCACGAATCTAAGGTTAACCAAAAACCGCGATTAATGCAGTTTCAGTGACGTCAAAATTAGTAATGCTACTATGGTGAGTGAAAAAATTAAATCAACAACTACAGTTTTCAAATTACTGACAATCTTAGGATTAAATACTTACTGACTGTAAGGTTATCTTTAACGAAGTCGGTGATGATCTCTTTATCCCTTTAAGGAACGGAACTATCCATTCATTTCCTTCTTTGCCAGCCTCAACTTCCTGGAAAAGAAAAAAAAACATTAGCTCGGATAATCGACAGGTAAGATATACAAATTACATTCTTCATTAACTCACTAATGATGCTAAGATCTCTTCCACAGTTTCCTTGGAGAAGCACTCATCTATGATCGCATTCCTGCATGCAAACTTATATGTAAGCTCTGGAACTTTTGAAGGTTAGAGAGATTCTCATGAAATAGACTTTGAATTTTCAGCAATTTTTACCTGTTCAAGATACTCTTTTCATCGACCTCAACATTTACAGAGAATTCCTCAATCACGGATTTGATAGCTTTCTCTTCACCGCTATTTAAACTTATTAGGCGACTCTGCAGCTCCGGAAATTTCTGGGGAAGAAAATAACATAATAGGAACAAGAGTTTCAGATCATGGAAACCGATCCATTGGAAATGCTCCAATAAATGCAGTAAGCCTTTAGAATCACATGAGTTAAATCAACAAATATTTTAAAAAAAAAAAAAATAAGAAAAATGACAGGGAAAAAAGAGTATATCATCACCATCAGTTTATTTAGCATTGCAACAGTAATGTATGGTTCAGATGAATGCTCCAATTTTTCAGTGCAGTAACTTTTTCACTCACATGAGTTACTTCAACAAATATTTAAGAAAAACAATAAGAAAATGAAAAAGGAACTGGACGACAGAACTTTAGAAGGATTTCATCTAACCTCAGACGGGACAAAATGAGTGGCAAGCCCTGCTGCAACCAATTCTTGACCACTCAGCCTGGCACCAGTTAACCCTAAGAACTCCCCTGAATAAGCACATAAGAAAGAACACACTTATAAATAAGAAAAGGGTGGGGAAAGAAATAGATTACACGCACACACATATATATATTCTGCCACAACCGTAAATCACTTTTCAGCTTACCTAGATAACCCGGGAGGTGGGAAAGAATGTATGAGAAACTACAGTCTGTATGAAATCCAATGCTTGCCTCTGGAGTAGCAAAAACCTATCTCCACATTTGATGACAGAGTATTAGTGAAAACCATTAACATTCAAGTGACCAAATTACACGAAAAACACAAAAATTCAATGGTTACTATACTAACAGTCTTTTCTGTCACAACAGAGAACTTCATTGGGACCATTAATGTTGCACCTCCGCCCATGCAAATCCCATGAACTAAAGCAACCTGACAAATATCGATAGCTTCAGTCAATACTATCTAATATCTATTTTATAAACAACTGAAAATGAACGACTCCTTCTTTACAAGTTATGCTGATACCTGTGTTTTCTTATACGTATGGATGTGGTAACAAAGCCAATACATTCTGTATACTACTTCAACGCATGGATCCTCTGTATGAACCAAAGAAAGAAAAACAATTACCTGTATCCATCTCAAGATTAGTGACTTTACAACCAAATTTTTGAATGATAATTCACTGACTTGAAGTCCTTCCATCGTAAAACATTTTCAGGTCCCCACCAGCAGAGAAAGCACGGCCAGATCCCTAGACATCATGATAAACTTGAGCTAGAGTGTGTGGAGATTTTAGACCCAAATTAAACAATCCTTTGAGATAGACAAAGTGAAAGCACGGAATCATTTATGTAAGTCCCCAGGATATAAAGAGATTTAGCTGCAGTTTGACCTTGATTAGTATAAGTTCCGCGTTATCGTCTTTTTCCCACTTCTCCAGAAGCTTTGCTAGCAAAGTAACCTATTCCAAAAAATGTTCGGAAGTTTCTTGATGTAACTTCAAGGAAAGAAAAATGTAAACAGAAAAGGAACTGAATTTGAGAGTTGATATTTTAATGAAGATACCATTTCCAATGAAAGGGCGTTTAGCTGTCGAGGCTGATTCAAGGTAATCATTCTTACATGACCGATTTCCTCGCCAAGAACAACCTAATGAAGAAATTCAAATATGGTATCCAAAAGAAAACTATTACAAGTAAGCACTGAAAAAGTGCAATCAATATGTGAAACTATGGAGAAAGACATTATGTTTCCTATAAGGAATTGAAAGCTCAGCGTACCTCGTCACCTGGATTTAACACTTGTGCCATCTGAAAGCCAATTTACTTTGTCCAAAATGAAAAACAACAGCAAAACCCTACAGTTGTGAGAGCCCAATATGAGAATATTCAGTCTTGCATACTCATTAGCTGACACTTATAAGAGCAGTAAGAAATAACTGCTGCACTTGCAACATGGCAGCACAATCCATGGTAGAGTAGGTATTCATTACAAAGAACAAGAAAGAGTAAGAAGGAAAGAAAGAAAGCAAGTAAAGATAATGGGTATGCCAGATAAGAACACTATGAGTGGGTGACGATGCATTAAACATCAAGAAAAAAGAACATCAAGATTTCTTTAGAGAGTTTGCATATACTTAGGGAGACAGCTTGGCAAGATATACCAGATATAAGACAAGAGCCCAATAAAATAAATAAATAAAAGGGGGTGGAAAGCTCGAACCTTTACTGTCAAAAAGAGGCAGAAAACAAGAAACTAGCATATGGCCTCCGGATTTTCAAGAAAATAACATTTAGTTACTTGAAAAAAAACAAATGGGGCACATGACAATCAGCAAGCAAGATACAAAATGAAGATAACTTACAGAAGAGCGAGTAATTTGGCAGGCTTTTTCTTCAAGTGAGATGATCGGCGGGTGAGGTGGTTAGCAGGTGTGATTGAGTTCAAGGGCTGGTCCAGTGTTGGCTTGAAAATCATGTGACTTTTGTAAAGTGATTAAGATGGAAGTTTGGTGAGATAATGACTCGAAGGTGAATCCTACATTTCCAAGCTCTCACCTAATTAGATCTTACCTACCGAACACCGACAAACTCTATTTAATNAGGCACATCGAACTCTCTTTTTTTTGCCAAAACGATAGAGGATATTATATAACAAAAGCGCACAAATGTGCAAATACAAACAGCCCAAGGCTGAAGAGTGGGAAGACAGGTCATGAGACCGCCTAGAAATCCAGTTAGCAAGTGCTAGAACAGAAACTCCAAACTAAAACAACTAGACACGACCCCCAAGGGGTAATACAACAAAACAACTCAAACAACAAAACAACAACACACGACCCCCACAGGGTAATATCCGGGTGTCGGACCCCCACAGGGTAATAAATTTGACACCCGGATGCACCGAGGCCAACAGGCCCAAACCTAAAACACAAGCACAAATACAAACAAACACAAACAAGACAAACACACACAAACACCTAAATACTAATTACTACACCCTCCCCCGAAGAAAGACGATCCCGAACGAGCAGCAACCGGATCACAGCTCGGCCCCTAGCCAAGGAACAGCTCCCGAAACTGCAATTAAGCCTATACAGAAACCGAACCCCCGCCCCCGAACCAAACCACGAGACGATCTGCCGCCAACCGAGGGTACAGGCAGTTGAGCCACCCCTAACCGGCACACCCCAAGCGCACTTAACACCACTAGGCTACTCAGGAGCGTCGGACTCCGGCCAAGCCGCAGCAAAGCCGGAGAAAAGGGGCAGCTCGCAGCCACATACTCTACTCCTGCAGCACCATCACAGGCCACCGGAGCCCCACCCCATCCATTGACCACCGCCATCCCAACGCCACCGCGTCGGAGGATATCCCCACACCAGGACTTCGGCAGAGACGCTCCCTGCAAAGGACCGAGGGGAGGCATCAAGGCACCAACCGCCGAGGACGAGAGACCACCTCCCCCAACCAGAGTCCGCCACCTACACCAGGAACCTGCGAGCCACCGGACTCCACTCGAGGGAGAAAGAACGGGAATCCCACCCACCAACCGTCTTGAGCCAATCCGCCGAATCCACCAAACACAGCCAGAGAAGAGAGAGACCGGCATCAGGGACAAGCCAGGCAGTCGCGGCGACCGCCGGCCCGGCCTCGCCGACGCCGGAGGAGGTGAATCGATCGAAATTAAGGCGGCGAGAGCTAGGGTAAAATTGGGGAAAAAATCGCAGGAGAGAGAGAGAGAGAGAGAGAGAGAGAGCTAGGGTAAAATTCATTCGGCAACACTCTATTTAATCTTCACAAACTTAAACTTAAAGAGGAGTAACAAAACATTTATACTTATATTAAAAGGGGTATTATTTACCAAATTAAGTAGTCAGAAAAGTCAACAACATTTATTGCATTACTATTTTCATATTATACTATATAAAATGATATTTTATTTACTACATTTACTATCCAGAAAAGTCAACTGCATTAAATGTCATTACTATTTTGGTATTATAATATTTTATTTATCTAATTGATTTATTTATTTATTTTATTTTAAAAAAGTAAGTATAATAAAAAGATTTTAATAATAAAAAAATCAAATACCAAATAAAAATGTACGCTTTGACTTATTTGATTATATTTGGTATTTGATTATACCAAATATATTCTATTTAGTATATACATTAAATACTTGCTAAAGTATTTATTTGTTTTATTTGCCAAATTAAATATAAACTTGTTTATATTTTCAAATCATAAAAAAATATTAAATCCATATTGTAAACAAAAAAAAAAATCATATAATTTTATAACAATTCTACTACACTATTTAACAATATTTTTTTTATTATATAATAAAATAATAATTAAATATTATATGGTGAACAATAATAAATAAAACTGTTACTTTCTCTTATATCAAGGGATAAATTTATATGCTAAAATTAACTTTTTATTAGTATGAATGTTTTAGTGAGATAATATATTAATTATTTTACAAGCTAGCCCTAACATGCTCATATTTAATGTTTTAAAAGATGTAGAAAAAAAACTTATAATAACTCTATTGTTTTTTAGACTTAAACGTTGATTAAAAAAGGTAAAAATTTCTAATTTTTTAGACTTAAACGTTGATTAACACCATAGATTGAGAGTTTATATTTAGTAAAATTCCTAATTGTAATAAAAAAATTAATTTTTGCTATATTTTAGA